AGTGCTCTAATACAACTAAGAGAAAAAATATTGTGAGTTGGAGAGAAAGTGCTCCAACACAACCAAGAAAAAAAATATCGTGAGTTGGAGAGAAAGTGTTCCAACACTTGGAAGTTGGAGAGAAGGTGCTCCAACACAACCAAAAAAATAAATAAATAAGAATTGAAGAGAAGTACTCCAACAATTGAAGATTGAAGAGAAGTACTCCAATACAACAACAATAACAAGAAGAAAAAGGCAAGAGTATACAACTTTGAATTACGGGAGAATGTTGGAAATAATAATTCAAAGTTGGAGTAGGAATCCTAAGTGTTTAGGATTTGTTATTTATGGTATTTACTTATTTATGTTTAATTAGGATTTGTTAGTTAGATTAGTTTCTAGTCCTAGTTTAATTTTGTTTTTACTTTTATAAATAGGGATGTTACTAGTTATTTTCAATATACACAGAAAATATAGAAATATACAGAAACATATAGAACTTTTAAGTCTATAAATAAAATATTTTCCTTCAATGGACAAGCAAAAAAGAAAAATTGAACAAGTAACTAGGGACACATGAAATAATAAAATCAGCTCGTTAATTAATATGATTACAAACACATTAAATGAAAAAGCATTCGTTTAACATTTAAATTTTTAGATGAGATTATAATCACACGCTACAACTTGGTATCATATATAGCAAAATCTTTAGTAAGCCAGTTTGCTCAAATAATTTTTCCAACATTTACTTTATCAAATACTCCTAGAAAATAAATTCTTGATCGATAAAGTCGAAAATTAATTTGAACTTTGGAAGAGGCAAACTTGCACTAAGTTAGAAATCACATACTCCTAGTTGATTAGATTTGAAATAGGATACAAACTTTTGTAACTTTCAAAGCATGCAACTTTAATTTAATTTTATTTTTTTTATCTACCCAACCATTTCTTTAACTTTAGACAATATACAGAAACAAAAGCTTCTTTATGCCCATGCTTGATTCTCTTAGTACATACACAATTTCTGATAAATAAAGCATATGGAAAATTGCATAGAATGTGTGATTAATTTGAATGTTGTTTCAGAGAGTTCTACTGTTGACATCTCTATATTTTGCTTTGTGAGGAGTGGGAAACTACTTTAAAGCTGAAGATATATAGTACCCACAGAAAACTAGTAAAAAGATTTTTTGGGAAAAGAAACACATTAATATTGTCCTCAAAGCCTATTTTCTTTTGGAAATTTGTCAGTAAGTTGAGTCATGGTGAAGTGTCCTTTATAGTTTATAGTAAATTTAAAATATTAGACTTTAACAGACTGTTTGGGGTTAATAATATTAAATTTATACACTACCATGTCACCTTTAAAAAAATTAAAGGTAACTTCCCATAATCATTGAAATCATGGGTTCCCTCAAAATTATGGTGAATGATCTTCTACAAGCTATTAAGTTGTATTGGTTATTAGCAATAAAACTCAAATATGTTATTGAACTTTGAAAAAGGTTCATTTATGTTATTCGTTAAAAGTTTAGTTCATCTGTGTCATTTTTGTTTGAGAAAAGTTCATTCATGTCATTATTTGTTAACGGAAAACATTTTTGATTTTGCAAAATCATTTTTTAAACGTGGTCAATTATGATTCGTCCACATCATTAATTAATTTTTTAAAAGGAAAAAGACTCAAATATGCTATTGATTTTGAGAAAAGGCTCACCTTTGTCATCTGTTAAAAGTTTGGCTCAATTATGCTATTTTGGTTAACAAATAATGGCATGGATGAATCTTTTTTCAAATAAAAATGAGTTAATCTTTTAACAAATGACATAAATGAATGTTTTTTACGAAATTCAACAACATATTTGAACATTTTCCATTGATTATATAATAAATTCTACGCTTCGAGTAACTATAAGATAATTCTAGTGGATGTAGTTGTCTTATGTGCGTCAATTCTTTACCTGCCGTGATATATTGAAGCCTCCAATAATTGAAATTGCACTATCTAGTTAGTTTTGTATCAATTGGAACTTTTGTAATATCAAACTTCTTAGAAAATCATAAATTAGCGATCGATAAAATTTTATAGCTGGACAATAAGAATTTCACACTAAATTTATTTAATTATGAATTAATATTCAATTAGCTAGGAGCTTTATAATGATGGATTAGCTAGGAGTTACTAATAAATTTCATAGTTAATTTCTTATTTATTTTTTAGTGGATTTAATTTAATCTGAACAACCACTTGATGTTTTGTGTACTATTTTGGATGTGTAAAAATCTACTTTGTGAATCAACCTTTATCGAATATTTGAGATAGTCATTATAACCTACGATAGTTCACTCACAAAGTTACTAAATCGTATTATTTTTATAACTCTATAGTGACTCAATTTAGGATAATTCAAAATACCAATTTAAATTTTATTAATATTTCACTTAGAAAGCCACTTAGTGATGGCAAATTGGTGGATTGAATCAGCTCTGGATAAATTGAAAATGGATTGAATTAAAATAGATTGGATCACAATTCACCCATATAAAATATTGATGAATATAGATCTAGTCAAATATGATATGGATAAAATAGTTGTAATCTACTTTAATCTCCTAAAGTAAAAAAATATTAAATCAAAACTAATTTGTTAATACCTTAACTCCTAGGCCACCACACGACCTATATTATTATTTTTTTAAAAATAACTTTTCATACAAAAAAATATAATTTTTTTACCCTGTATCCACTATCTCCCCCCACCCCCCAAAAAAATTGCCAACTTTACCCCCCCCCCCCCCACTGCCACCCCCACCTCCCCCACCCCCAAAGAAAATTAAAAAATATTGTTTTTTAGAAAAAGAAAATTGTCAACCCTACCCCCCACCCACACCAAAAACAAACTTTCTAAAAGAATTTAAAAAAAATAATAATGTTGCCCACCCATCCTATGCCCCTCAATTTTAATTTTAATTTTTTTTAAAACAAATAGTGCAATTAGGGAATTTTATCATAAGTGAGTGATACATGAGTATATATGGATTCTCATGTTTGTACATTTTGTCCATATTTGTATGAGCTTAAATAGATTGGAGTTCATACTTATTCATTTAAGAAAATATGAGTGATCCATTTAATTTAATATGAGAAAAATGAATCCATTTCATTTATATGGACTGAAATTGTCACCCCTAAAGTCACTCAACTTAAGTGATTCTTGGCTATAAAACAGAGTTGAGTGATTTTCTAAGTGAACTATCTTAAGTTAAGTAACTTGTAAATTATAAAACAAAATTGAGTGATTTTTTAAGTGAACTTTCCTAATTTCAAGTAGCTATCTCAGATATTATCTCTTTTTTTTAAAAAATCTTTTTCATTGTAAAACTCTAGATAAATTCAGGAAATTGAAGATTTGACTCAAATTTTCATGCAAATGTAAGTGTAAAACTTAAGCAAATAAAAGACATGCATGCTGTTTATCCAATGTATTCATGAACTGACTTCTGCTGTAATTTGATTTTCATGTGGTCATAATACATGTATTGTGACCAAGAAAATTCAATGAAGTTATTTAATACTAAATTCATTGTATTTTTTATATTATAAATTTAAAATGTTTATTCCAATTACACATCTATGTTCAGTGTTAAAAGTACTGATTAAATTCATGACTGACCAAATGTTGCATCAACCTAGGTTGAGTGTACCTTCTTCAGTTCTTTGCTAGAAATGATTAGAAAATGATGATGTTTTTTTTTTCATTCGATGTTTGATATTCATGTGAGGGTCTGGTTAAATTTAAATTTGCACTGGAAAATCTCACATTAGAGGATAAAAAATTCCCTGATAAAGATAACTTTGTACTCGTGAGAATTGGAACTCAAAAATTTTAATTAAAAATAAATAAATATTTACCGCTCTATTACAATTCTCTCGTTTACTAGAAAATAGAAAATGATGTTATCATTACATAAAATAGAAGCATTGTGACATAAATGATATGAGACTCAGAGTCAAATTATTGGAATGTCATAAAAGCATATTTCATTTACTAGACATAAATTCTATCCATCCAACAAATTGGCTCACTTCCTTGACAACACTGTGCCATAAATGTATATAAGAACACATTAAAGGGAATGAGACAAATTGCTTATAGAGTAATACATTGGAATTTTTTCACTTACACACAATTGATATTAAATATAGGGCAAAGTGATAATTTTAATTTTATGAATTCTAAATTTTTATAATGACGATTTAAATATTTTCTTCGTTCTTTTTTAGTTGTTATGATAAAGTTTGATATAGCTCTTTAAAAAAATTATTCTCTCCGTTCCTATTTACATGTCATTTTTACTAAAAATAGATGTTCATTAATACATGTCATTTCACTAAATCATTACATAAATAATACTTTTCTTCCTATTTTACCTTTTAGAGTTGTTAGTCTTGAAAATATAAAATTAACAAACATATGACAACTAGATGATTAATTCATGTTCATTCATTAATTTAATTAATTAAAATAAATTAATTTATAAAAAAAAAACTTAACTTCAAGAGATCACTAAATAAATGTATAATAATAAACTTTCTTATTTTTTTAAGGGACGTGAAATTTAAATTTGTGACATATGAATAGGAACCGAGGGAATAATAAGGTGTATTGTTTGATTAATATATTCCTTATTAATTCTTTAATTTTTTTCTATATATGTGACTCTTAATTCTAGAATAACTAATGTTAACGGCAAAGTTGGAAACAGACTAGTAACTCTCTCTTCATTGTGTAAATTGACAACTACTCTATTTTGGAACAAATATTTTTAGTATACATGATAATTAAGAAGAAACGGAAGGAGTATTAATAATTGAATTCTAAACTTAATATTTTAACATATTTAATAAACTTGTTACTACAAATACACTATTTGATCAAAAGTTACTGGTTCGATCAAATCCATACCCGAGCTTCTAGCTCCAACCTGATTAATAATCAATTAAATTTACAAATTTATTTTAGTTGAATATCAAACCAGATTTGCTTGAAAACCTTGATGATGAGATTATGGTAGTGATCTGAATTCAATGAAAGATAACAAGCAAGAAGTTCTTCTAAATCTTTAGATGTCTTTATGTTATTCTTCACTATCATCTCTACCATGGATTCTTTGAAATCTCTGTGTGGATCTTTAGATGACTTCACCACTGCATAGCTTGTTCTTGAAGAAACGCTTTTTCTGCTTACTACTCTAGGAGATTTTGTTCTCAACTTCACCCCATTTGATGATGAACTCACTGAAATTCTTCTTTTTGGACTTGTACTCTGTTCTATTTTCACTGTTAAAAACTTGAGCTCTGTTTTTTCTTCCTTTTTGTTGGGCTTGGTTATAATTGGAGGAAGATCGATTTTGAAAACAGAGTCTAATATATGATCATTGCAACGACGATGAGATGGTGACAAAATCATGGATTTGGGAGAATGAAGAGAGGATTGTGGTTCAGAGGAAAAGGGGGAATTGACACATTTAGGAGTGTTTCTCCTCATAATGTTCTTCCTTTTCTTGGAATATTTACTTGGTGTTTCTGAGAAATTGTTGGAAGTTGGGATATGCTTAGACAGTGTTACATTGGTTTGATGAGAATTATTAGGTCTAAGGTTTCTTGAAAAGTAATATGATTTTCTATGGTGCTGTTGAAGATTTGATGATGAGCAAAATATTGAAGATGATAATGAGGTCGATGAAGATGTTTGTTTTCTCTTGATTTGGCTTCGGCTTTTTCCCAGGTCCTTGAGCTTGTAAAACCAAGCGTTTGGTACCATATCTGATAGTTTAAATCTATAATTACCCATTTTTCTCAGACTCTGTATTGAAAGTGACTAGACCAGAGGAGTAGAAAATATGGGAGTGAGCTAAGGATGATAAATAGGCAGGGGAATGCGTGCGTGATGGTTTCAGAGGAATTTTTAGAAAATATGCGCGCGCATAAATGAAGTTTGAACTTGAAATCTCAAGATGAATTTTTTTGAAAGTCGTAAATAATTGAGTCTACTTATATCTATAATGTAGGTTTTTGCTGAAAGGGTTCGAGTGAATGACCCTACAATTCCTTAGATCCGTCTTTGAGAACTCCCTCTGTTCCATAATGCTTATCATGTTTTATTATTTTTTTACCAAATTAATATGACAAGAATTCACAATTTTATGATTTTTTATTAACGTTTTTTCACCACATTAATATTACAAGAATTTATAATCAATAATATTTTTACTATAGTTATCTTCATTGCAATTTTAATATATATATATATATATATATATATATCAAACTCAAACAGGTTAAAACGGATCAAATTAATAAATAATTATAATTTAATATTCAAAATTTGCTCCTATCAAAATAAATCAGGTTAAAATGGCCAATGGGTCACATAATAAATTACAATCCAGCCCATTCATTACGACCCAACCTTTTCTCTTTTTTCTTTTCTGAAAAAAAGAGTTAAAGCTAATTTATTTTTCTTAAATTCGTATCTTAAAAGTTTATTAAAATTACATAATTCAAAATCTTCAATTTAATTTTTATGTATCAGTTTCTGTTGCATTTTAACCCGTTAAATTACATTATTTGATCATTTTAACCAATAATTTGATGAGTTAATCCGAGATTAATTCATTGTGTCAAGTAAATAAATAATGTCATAGTTGACTCATTTAAATTTAAGTAAGTTGGTAAAATTATTAGTGTTCCAAGGACTTCACTCTTTGTATTTATGTCAAACAATTCAGAAACAAATATGCACATAATAGAAAGATTTCAACTTTCCAACTAAATATTATTATAAATAATGAAGAAACGTAAATAGTAGATACAAATATGAACATGTAAAATAAATTAGATGTAATACTTGAATACTTCGATATTCAATTTGATACCTTACTAGGGGTGGCAGGGGGACCGGGTCGGCCCGCCCCGCCCCGCGACCGGTCCGAGAATCGGCCCGCCGGACCCGGTCCAGTTAGAAGTTGGCGGGATGGGGGCTTTCGGGATAGGGGACCGGTACCGGTCCGGTTCACCCGTTCGGCCCGGTCGACCCGGCCCGGATGAACCGGCCGGTTCGCGGGATCCCCTAACATTTTTTTCTTTTAAAAAAAAAAATTCTATCGGTTGGGGCAACGGCTAGTGGGCCCCCCCAACGGATATTTTGGCAGTTTTTTCCCCCAACCAACACCCCCTACCACCCCTACTTTTAATAATTTACTTTAAACCCTCAAGTTATTATAAATACACTTTAACCCACTTTTAATATTATAAATACCCCTCTATCCCTTATTATTTCTTACAAAATTATATATTCTCTCATCTATTTTTTATATTCTTTCAAGTGTCAACTCTCAATCTTAAGTCTTAAATCTCAATATTTTATTTCATTTAAGTCTCATATTATATCATAATACATATATTTCAATTCTAAGTTTTCATATTATATATCATAATATATATATCTAAGTTTTCATATTATATTTGCTATCAAGTTACAAGTTACAAGTTACAACAAACTACAAGCTTCAAGAATCGGTTATAACGTTTGCTATTAACGCAGACGTTTGGTACATTCGTTTCATAATATTTATATTTTATTTTTCGTCATTAATTTTTGTGTTATTATTATTTTTATATTATACTTTACATATAATTAAATATGAGTTCTAACAAAAAAAATACCGGTAATGGAAAAGAGAAGGAACCAAGTGGCATTAGTAGATTATTTAATTTTACTAAAAAAAGTAGTAAGGAAAAAAATAAGAGTAAATGTGGTGGTACTTCTAGAGTTAGATTTAATACAAATGATTCTACTTATGTTGATGATACTTCTTATGATATTGATTCAAATGCTCAACTCGATCATGAACTTTTACAACAAATTTATGGTGATATTAATCCTTATCTTGATGAAAATTCAGGTGAAGAAGTAGAAGTTGGTTCGGGAGAAGATGAATTAGAAGATACACCTACTAGTCCGGTGACAAATGTTCCAAATGAAACTACAAATTCAATGGAGACGCCCACCCCTTATACCTCCTACAAGGGAGAAGGTGAAGTATCAACGCCCTAAAACTTCTGTTGTGTGGCAATTTATGACTTTAGATAAGGAAAATTCTATTGCTATTTGTAATAAATGTAAGCAACCTTTTAAACATAAACAAGGTGGAGGTCAAGGTGGGACGGGGGGCTTAAATAGACATTTGTTATCTTGTGTGCCGATTCAATATAAAGAAGCTAAATCATTAGCCGATAGAAAAAAAGGAATTTCAGTTAATGATTTTGATATTAATGTTAATGAATCGGTAGGGGCTTCTAACATGGTTCAAGGAACATTAGATCCTTCTAACCCCGGTGGTCCACTAACACAACGTAAATATAATAAGGAAAGAGATCGTGAAAATTTAGCTAAAATGGTTTCTGTTTGTGGTTTACCTTATAGTTTTCCTTCACATCCCGATTTTATTGAATATATTCAACAAACTTATAATCCTAATTATAGAGGTTTTTCAAGAAATACTGTTAAATCTGATATTTTTGTATATCAAGGTAAACATTGTCAATATCTTCGTTGTGTGTTTAGCATATTAGATTGTAAAGTGTCTATAACTTCGGACATGGGTCGTAGTGTTAATGGACGTGATTATTTAACTGTTACAGCACATTGGATTGATCATAACTGGAATTTGCAAAAAAGAATCTTAAGTTATAAAGAATGTGTAGAGAAAAAAACTGGTGCATATTTAGCTTCAAATATTTTGAGTGTTATAGATTATTACATGCTTATAGATAAAGTAATGTCTGTCGCATTAAATAATGCATCTAATAATGTAAACGCTGCTAGTATGTTAAAAATTAGATTATGTCCAATTGATGATAATTCTTTTCATGTTAGATGTGTTGCACATGTATTAAATTTAGTTGTACAAGATGGTATTTCATTATTTGAATGTGGTTGTATGAAAATTGAATATGCTGTTGCCTGGATTTTTTATGCTAATAGAGTTGCTAGAATTAGGGAATTTAATGAGCGTTGTGTACTATGTGATTTGCCACCAAGAAAAATTCCAAGACATATTAAAACAATGTGGAATTCTTTTTACGAAATGCTTTCAGTTGCTTACGAATATAGAGGACCCATACAAATGGTGTTTAATGCTCATAATGCTGACCCATTAGACAAAATTTGTGAAGAAGATTGGGAAGAAAGTAATGAACTATTAGAATTTTTAAGACTTTTTTATGATGCAACAACCATGTTTTCTGGAATTTATTATCTTACTATTTCATCAGTATTAATAAATATTTGTGCTATTTCAGTTCAATTTTCTAAATACAAAAATATTGAAAAATTTAGAGTTGCAATTGAAGGTATGATTGAAAAATTTAAAAAATATTTTTTTCCTATTCCTCAAATTTTTTTAACTGCTACTTTACTTCATCCTGACTATAAATTACAAGGTGTGCAGGGACTTGTTGACACTTTTTATAATACCTTAGAAATTTCACCGGAAATAAATCCAACTAGTCAAATGTGTAAGTGTAGCATAAAAGTAGAAGCAAAAATTTTGTATGAAAAATATAGAACTACAGGAAATATTCAAGAAGTTGGTCAAACTTCTAATCCTCAGAGTAAAGCTCGAATTTCAAGTTATATGCGAGATTTTCTTGGTCTTAATTCTACTAACCGTGATGATTTTGAAGAATATCTTAATCAATCTTTAGAAACAGTGAAGACGAAGATGGCAATGAAGATTTATTAGCATGGTGGAGGAGGCGGAGCGTTGCATTTCCAATTTTAAGCAAAATGGTTCGTGATGTTCTAGCTATTCAAGCTTCATCAGTTGCATCAGAGGCTGCTTTTAGTGCGGCAAGGTTTCAACTTGGCGATCATAGACATTCATTGGCGGAAGACAGTTTGGAAATATCAGTTTTATTTAGAGATTGGGTCAACGCCGAAAGGAGAAATGATAATTTGCCAAAGTTAAGTTCCAAACAAGAAGCTTGGATTAATGCGGTACTTGGATCTAGTGATGATGAATTAGAGTCACAAGAGTTTCTAGCAAGTTTGCCAACACCGGAGGATGTTACCGTCGATATGATGCGACAATTAGAATTGAATTTTAAAGGAAAATACAAATATTAGATTACATCAGAGAACTAATTGAAACAGAACCCTTCCTAGAAGGTGGCTGCGTAAATTAGTTACTCATCTAATATTTGTAACAAATATTAGTTTTACATATGAGAACTTATTGAAACAGAACCCTTCCTAGAAGGTGGCTGCGTAGATTAGTTACTCCACTAATATTTGTAAATTGTAACTTCTAAGTTCTAAGTTGCAATTAGATTTTATTGAATAAATTTGAAGGCTTTATTAAGTCTTTTTTATATAACTATTGTCTTGCATTTTAATTTTAATATATTCATACATATTTACATATATACTAATTTGTTTGAAAATAGTTGAACATAATAAAAAGAGAACTAGCTATTACAAAATTTTATAATAAGGAACAAATGTTAAAAAATGGAACTTTAATACATCAACTAACACCTAGATTATTAAAAAAAAAAAAAAAGAAGGAAAATTCAAAGTATTGCACATAACGTCCTTTTTTGGGGCCTTTTCTTCAAAATCAAAATTTCAAGTTTAAATTACTTTAAAATATTTAAAAGACAAATTTGAACTTCTCAAATTTGTAATTTCAAAATTGAAAATTGAAAATTGAAGTTTGAAATTTGAAAGTTGAATTTGAAATTTGAAATTTGAAAAGTTGAATTTGAAGTTTGAAATTTGAAGTTTGA